GTTGACAGAGGCACTTTACTTGTGTTGTTCATTCACAGGCCAGGAAGATTCTTTAGTTGCCTTAATACCTTACAGTGATAAAAGATTACGACCACGGCGAACGTAAGTACCGTATTTGTGATAACACACTTGATTTGATTGGTTTGATGGTTTGATATACTGATTACTGAAATACATGTGATGATATAGATAGTACAGTTGACATTCTAATCATAATTGAAATATATAAAAGTAAAATAAATTAAATAAAAAAGCAAAATTTGATACATGATATATTGTACAAGGTATAAATATGTGAATATTTTAAATCTACATATGGAAGCATGTGAAGAGGCATGTTTATTTTGGGGTGGGGAGGGGTGCTTCCATCATCAAGGGGTCACATCATGCATTGAGTGTTACTAGTATCAGGCATGTACCAATGCTTAGAGGTGTTGTTAGCCATAATATTTAATGTACGTGTTGTGTTACTGGATTTTATTAGGCTCCCTAATAACAATGTATTGAGTGTATTTATAGGTCAAGAATGGTCATTTCTTGAGGTTGCATGTACTGTAGAATACTTTATTTTCGCTTGGAATTTATTTTCACTATTTTCGCTGAAGGGATGATTCGTAAAAATAAAATCCAGCGAATATACTTTATTTTCTATATTTCACATTAAACTCATCAAAAATCAGTTAAAATAAATTCCATACAAAACGCCCAAAAAGCCTTTTCAGCGAAAATTAATTCCAGTGAATATAAAGTATTCCACAGTATACTGATTTTGTCTCACCTTGTTTGTTGACCTTTGGAATGCTGAAGTAAACTTCCAATTTTTACCACCTTTCACAAAATACTGAGACATTTTTCAAAAAAAATTCAAGATTTGCAGGCAGTAAGAAATTAATGAGCAAAAAAAATTTGAAAAAAAAAATTCATGAAGGTGTACAAAATGTTGTATAAAAATGTTAATGAGAAAATCGTGGTATTCAAAGCATTGGTCATATAATTTTTTCATTTGCTGTGCTCTTGTATGAAAGGTATGTTTTCATATAGTAAGATGGAAAACTACCTTGTTATTGTATTCAGATTCCATTATATCTTGTGACAAGTTTTTATCGACCACATGTCACCAACTGTTTAATACTCAAGCATGCCGGGACAGATATTTTAGTAGTTAGTCATTTTGTTTCATGATTTTAAAAATGGCTGGCTGCTGGCCATTTTGTCTGATTTATATATGGTCTGCAAGTTCTCAGATATCTTTACAGATTTTGTTTAAATTTGATAAAAAGGCAAGTCATAATAGGTTTAATGTTTTCTCTATTATTTTACAATTTCAATGAAATTTAACCGACTTGCTGCCATTTTTGCGCCAATTCATTCAAACTAAATATGAACATCACATCTTGATGGGTTACTGAAGCACACAAGTTTATTCTTGTGATATAATTCATTGATAAATCTGTTAACTGTTCGTTTATTTTTGCCTGTTCATAACCATTTCTCAGATATGCTTTGACCGATTTTGTTGATGAAAGTATGTACAAAGACAAAACATGCATTGATTTGTTTTGCATTTTTATGACCATTACATGTAAAACTGGTGACCATTGTTGTTCTGCATGTTATTCAAACATTTCTGGGCCGAATTCATTTAAAATTGGTTTGAACAACATACATGTACATGATGTTTTGTTATTTGATTCTAAATGTCAGATTGATTTATGTGTGGGTTATACAATCTTGTACGATGAGAGAAGGATGTCACTTTTACCATGGAGATTTTTACCTCTGTGCTTTTACTGAACAAAACCTAGATAGGGAAGAACACTGTATTTTTAACATACTGAGAACTCTCTCAACATTTAATAATAATAATCCATCTACATCTCTCATCGTTTATAATTGACATTAAAAAACTGGACAGGGACTATATCACTGACAATGATTTGATATATAAAAAAGAAATTAATCAATTCTTGGTGAAAAGAACTAATATTCTGATGAAAAAATAAGTATCAGCACCAGACCAGTTTCTTTGTTGAAACAGTTGGTTTCAAAGGTAAATTGCTTAATTCTCGAATATATGTCTTCTGTGATATATATTTGTATAACCATTGAAGATGAGCTTCAATTTTTGTTCCATTGTTCTTTTAACAATTATATTTAAGTTGTTTTTTATAACACAGTCATCAAATTGTATCCTGGTTTTCATAATTTAAACTATACTCAGAAATTAAATCATATGATTCTTAATTTTTTTGGCTACATCTAAATTTGTTGTTTGTACATAGTTAAAAGACACAGCAAACTGCATGTACCGTATTTCTATTGATGCATCTTGATTTTTCTTGATGGGTTATTGTTCAAGACGTAACAAAATCAAGATAAATGTTAATGTATGTAACAGCAACAGTACATGCAAAGTGAAAATTCAATCAGTGAAAGGAAATTGAAAAATAAATCCTTATTGTAGAGAGTAAAAAAAGTAGAGAAGTCTATGGATATTTAAAACATGACCCCTTAACTTAGGATAATTTCTCTTTTTTTATTAGGACTTTGTACGTCTGCATAGCCATATTTGTGAGTCTGCTAGCAGCCGGATTGCTCATATTTTTTCTTTTCCCTCGTGAAATCACCATAACAGCTGGTCATGTGGAAACTGCAGATGTCAAATTTAGTTTCAATGCATCAACAGGGGATGTCCATCTCTGGATGAGGATTCAGGTGTGTTTACTTTTAAATTATTATTTGCAAATTTACTCAAACTTAAAAAATGTCATGTGATTATACTGAAATAATGATAAGATTGAACATAGAACATATGGCAGTAGACTGTCACTTCATATATACTTGTCCATTCACCACTGAATTATGTTTTTATGACACTGGAAAATTGAAAAAAAACATAACAATAATTGTGTTCAGGCTATAACTCTGTATATCAGCTTAGATCAAGTTTCGTCCACACATTAGAGGTACATGTGCCGCAAACTTATTGAGAATATACAAATTGCTGATTTTGATTTCTTAGTGCAGTAAACAGAGAGATGTACATTTTAGCTTCATTGTTATATCATGCATTAACAATGCAAAGGCACTGAGAAAGCTGAAGTTGCAGAATTAACAGTTTCATCGTCTGTTAATTTTTTTTCTTGATGTGCTAATGTTTTTGTTGCCATGTTGGAAATTAATGTACATATTGAAATGAATTGTCATGAATATACAGTAGTAGTAAATCTTTCCCTTGATGGATGCTGTTCTCAAAATGTCATCCCAGAGGGAATTTAGATGTCCATGCACACTTCGTTGGTCTTTATACTGAGGTCTGGAGCAGATCTTAAAGATGCTAGGAGTATCTGTGCCTTAGTTAATACTGTTCCAAATGATTTTTTATTATGGGTAAATGTTTTTGACATCTAGCCCTTGCTAAGAAACCGTACTTGAACACAAATATTTTGGATATTCTTGCAAACATCAAATTTTGAATATTTTTAGCAGTAAAAATACCGGTAAAAGCAGTTTACATTTTACTCAATAATATTTGAATCAGCAGAGATGTTGAAAATGTTGTTTGTATATATAAATTTTAGTATTCAGTGTCCTCCTGGGCAGCAGAATGCCCAAATATGGAAACTAATTTGCATAATAATATGGTGTAGTTTGCATATTGATTTTGTTAAAATTGGAATAATCAACATATTCATATCAATATTGTTTTCTTGAAAGTTCAGACATGGAATGTCCCAGGAATTCTGCATGTGGGCGAAAGCTAGAACCTAATGTGTCTTATTACCAGTATGGTTTATTACTTTATTACAGAATACATACAATGTGACCAATAACAATTTTGTTAGAGCTTTAATGAATTCAATATCCATGCAAGCTGTGTATCATAATAACGTGGTGGGGCAGGGGAAGACTGTCTTAAATAAGTCAGTGTTACCAAGGAAATCACTACAGGTCAGTAAATGTCTGCAGTTATTACTGGTTGCCAATAGTGATAAACAAAAGTTATTTTCTTTGAACGTTTACCATGCTTAAATAAATTGTAATACTCGCTTGTTAAAGTGTGCTCTTAAGCATGACGGTAATTTTGTAGTTGTTAGAGAGTTCTAAAAATGCTCTACAGAGATATCTCTCAAATGTATTTGTGAGAACAAGTTGTTGTATTTTATAATAAGATTAACAAGTTAAATCGTGGTGGTCGTCGCGCATCGCATGTTCGAAATTCATGTAAATAAACAATGTATTTTACACGCGTTATATATGTCACTACGAGACCCATATCGAACATGACGCGGCACGACGACTGCCGCCTTTTAATGTTGATGTCTACAATACAGAATCAAATTTCTTGGTACAAAACTGAAGCTGGTAGTAAAATATCTGCCTAAAACTGCATAAACCTGCTGACCATGAGTCATTCCCCTCACTCCTCTCTGTGTGCATGGTAACTTAGCAACCAGAAAACCCCAAACTCTGCTATTTGTTAAACTATAAAATTTTAATGGGCATTGTTTCTAATTCTGAATTCTGCATATCACACATTGTAGTTATTTCCCACTAATATATATGGCAAGGTCACAATAGTTGCATTATGTTTTAGGTATATTTGGTATATTTTGTATGTGTATAAACATACATTTATAGAATCCTCCATAATATTTTTTGTTTACATGTATTATGTTTTGAATAAAAACTGATGTTAGGTATAGACTCCAATTTATTTATGCATTTTTTTTTTTTATTTTTATATTTTGTTTATCGTTATTTTTGTGTATTTGTGACTATTTAAACATAATTAACAATAAAAAATATATATAAATTAAAAAAAAAAATCAGATTGATTTTGATGATTTATCTCATCAGATTGTTTCCGAAGTCAATGTAACCTTTGATGGTAATGTAGATGAAGGAGGAGATTTACTTTTAGTATCGTAAGTATATCACTCTTATAACTACACATTTTTCAAGACTGTAACTGTGGTATTTTGCTGCCCAAAACCTCAAAATAGATGTGAACTTACATGTGACCCAAGTGTTATTTTTGGCCTGTGAACCATCTTTCTGTGACATGATGTGTAGTTTCTGATATGTCACCTTTTTGCTAAATTGATCTATGCCTAGTATCTATCTATAAACCAATCTATGCCATGACATTTTCTGTGTAATTCTTTTTTGGTCTAGTACTTTTATAATTTTTTTTTTAACAGGATTATGTGCGATCCCAAGGGTCATGTAACAGTACATCATCTCTACTTGGATTTTCAGTAAGTATATACATGTCTCTTCATCAATTTGAATAAAATTAAGATTTTTCTCTTAGCCCTACCATGTTGACATTTCCATTTTTTTTTTTTTATAAATCCTCAGTATCTACCTTTGTTATTCTTTGGGGCAGACATTCAGGCAATGTCACCGTCAACCATCACGGTCAAAACAAAGGCGAAAAGTCTCAAAAAATTGTATTTTGGGATAATTGTTGAAATTCTCCAGAGCAGTGTCACTAGATTACCCAAATATGTGAATTGTATACAAGTATATAAGTATATCTGTGCTGCGATTTAACTGGTTTCACCGGCTTTTCCACCAGCATTCCACTGCAGCTTGCGCAGAGCCCATTGGAATACATGGTACAGTGATGCGTGTCTTAGCATCATGGAACATTCTGTGACATGACTTTGTCCCTTAGAATAGAATAGAATAGAATAGAATAGAACACCAATAATAACTTATTCACTTAGGAGCTTTGCGGAGTTTAACTTTGATTGTCTTTAATAGATGCTGTTATTTATTTGTTTTCCTTGAAATGTTTTGTTAATGAATGCTATGATTTAGATTAAGTAGATTTTCCTGCTGCATTTTTTGTAGTCATTTTGTATGTATGGGTATTTGTTTTCTAATTGTAAATTTTTACTTTTGTTTTCAGAGTTACTTTGAATACGCACTTCCTTGCACATAAGGAGGAATTTACATTAGCCTCAAGTAATTTTTCAAACTGTGTGAAGCAAAAAAACAACAGCAAGCTGTTATCTGGGATGTTTGAAGTTTCCACCTAAAGTAATTTAAAATATGTATTAAAAGCCGCTGCTTCTATTAAAATGGTACAATGCAACAGATGGGATGCGGCTTCTATTAGAGCATCTACACATATGAGAAATGGTGAATTTTTGGTTCTCAATCGGGAACGGCTTCTATTAGGAATGAGGTGTCTAATACAGATTTTATGGTACATGTTATGACCAAGTAAAAAGATGTTTACTTGTCCATGGCTGTGTTCAATATGGGTCA